AAACCTCACCACAGATTGAAAGAAAAAGAATCACCGAAGAAAGAAGTATGCCCACTTATAGATACCGAGAAAGTCGTCATCGCCGCAAAGCCCCGGCCATCCACAAGGTTCATCACCGCCGGCAAAAGGAAGGAGTAGGATCGTGGATCGTTTCGCAGTTTCTCCACCTCCACCGACGAGCCGCCGCCAGCTTTCGTTTGTAGGTAAAATTCATGATCGAATCTTTGTTGCATGTTGTTTCTATGTGATTGCAGGTTTTAAGCAAAGGAAGATGGAGAGGAAGACGGAGGACTCGATCGATGAAGGAGGCGACGAAGAAGAAATCGCGAACGAAGGAGTTCGCTAGAGGGCATCGCGAAAGAGACTCGGGGAGGACGAGGGACTCAGCTCCGTTCTTTTTTTTTTAGTTTTATTGTTATTGATTTGTATTGTAAATCTGGTAACATAAGATAACCACCACACACTCACCGTACACCCACCATGATCTCCAATGGATCAAACTCACTTCCTTTTCCGTTTATCCGTTCTTTTTTGATTACCCCTTTAATTTAATTAATTAATTTAAACAACTTTTTTTTCTTAATGAATTAACTTCACTTTTTTTATAATAGTAAAAAGAAGCCCTTTTATAATTAAATCAACCTCTTTATTTTAATATAAAAAATCAATTCCCTTTTTTCATAAAAACAATAAAACTCTTATAAATCTTTATTATCTAAATTAATCTTTCATTAATAAATTAATTATTAATTTTCTTAAAATTAAATCACAACCAAACTTTTATAAAATTATCAAATAAGTTAACACTTTTCTTAAATCAAATAATATAACCTTTTCTTAAAATCAACCTTTCTCAAAATTAAGCAACTTCGCCTAAAATTAACATCGCGCGCTTGCACTCACTCTCACACACTTTTGCGCTTTCATGCGTCCGTGTATGCTTTATTTATCTGCCTTTACTTTATCCGCAACTTTATATCTTCGCATATTATATTATCGCATCGCATTTCGTCCAAAGGAAGAACCTACACATGACTTAACACTTGTGTGTATTGCATCTCATTTGCATCATATTCCCACTTGATCCTTGATCCCATTCAAGTCGATCTTCTAAGTTAGATCCTACCCCATAGGAAGGACCTTTTTACAACATAGAAATAAACACAAACAACTCAATGCAATTACTCAAACATTAGAGAAAGATGTTAATCATCTTAAGCGAGATAGAATCTCCACCCCACAACAATACAATCTCTTATACTTGTGGCGGTTAAATCTCCCTTAAAATGACAACTCATCTTTTCTCCTAAACTCAATCAATCAACTACCCTAAACCCGTAGGAACTTTGACCGCAGTCAAAGAACTCCTCAAACCCTTTAGGGGAACTACAGATACTCTGATTCCACTCCCTTAAGGATATGTAGGCATAAGATGCGATATCTTATCGAGTATACTTAGAAATAAAACCACTAGGTCTTTTACCCTTAAGCAGATAAACCTTAGCAATAAACAAACATAAAACAAGAGGTTTCTGTAGAGTACTACAGAAACTTAGGATGCTAGCACCTTCCCTAAGTTTAACCAACCCCCGAACCTATAACTCTCTAGCTTGCATTTCCATTGCATTGTGGGAATTTCGATCTTTATCCCTTCCTTTGGACAAATCAAAGTTCGGTTGCAAAATGAATTAAAGACTCAAACTAATCAATAGTTTGGTATCCAAATTTCACCGCGACAGGAAGCACTTACTTTGGAGTGCGGCGACTCTTATTTCTATAAGGTTGACTTGAAAACGGTGTGAGATAAGTATTCCAAGGTGGGAAACTTATATGAAGTGCAGCGACTCCTAATCCTAAGGCTAGGATAGAGGGATGGATGTCCATGGCGGGACGCCTAAGATGAGTACAGCGACTCGGGTTCTAAAGGTTTAGGAATAGGTAATGGTGTGGTGCATCCACGGCAGGATATGAGAAATGGTGTTAGATGCAGATTATGATTAAATTGGATTGGTGAAATATGATTAAGTCGTAATAGTGAAATTGATTTGATTAGTGAGATTAGTAATTAAAGGTTGATTATTTTGAAGTTTATGATTAAGTGAAAAATTGAATTAAATGCTAGGACTAATTATTTTTGTGGGATTTTATATAATTTAAGGAAAGAGTTGGGATTTGTATTTAGAATTAAGTTAATAATAGATGCTAGACTAATTAAAAGGATTATTTATTTCTGCGATCTTTGAATTAAATTAATTAGTTCAAAAGATGTTAGAAATTAAATATATTGAATTAAACAAAATAATTATTGAAGGCTAAAGGACTAACTAGTAAAAAAAAAAGGTTAGTTAACTTAATTAAGAATTTAGAAAAAAAGATTCTTTTTTTGTATTTTTATTAATAATAAAATGAGACTTAAATTAAAACTATGTGTTATTATATATATATATATATATATATATATATATATATATATATATATATATATATATATATATATATATATATATATATATATATATATATATATATATATATATATATATATATATATATATATATATATATATATATATATATATATATATATATATATATATATATATATATATATATATATATATATATATATATATATATATATATATATATATATATATATATATGTGTGATTGTGTGTGTATATATATATATATATATATATATATATATATATATATATATATATATATATATATATATATATATATATATATATATATATATATATATATATATATATATATATATATATATATATATATATATATATATATATATATATATATATATATATATATATATATATATATATATATATATATATATATATATATATATATATATATATATATATATATATATATATATATATATATATTATTTTTATCTCGAACCTAAATTAAAGTCTAGGATTACTATTTTAATTCTTGTTTATTTTTGTTTATAGAAGTCAATAGATTAAATGTTTTTATTTTTTATTATTTGTGAAAATGAGGAGGAAATTAGCTTTCTTTTTTTTATTATTAAACTAAATACATTTTTCCAGACTTATTTTAAATGGTTAATGGGTTAGTGTGTTAGTGGTTAGTTTATTTTTATTAATAATTAAATGATTACAATCAAAAGATAAACAGAAAGTAAAAAGAAAAACCAACAAATAAAACAAAACAAAATGGGTCGGGCTGGGTGGTCAGGCCCCAGACCCGACCCGATTCGGACGACCAAATGGAAAAGGGAATTGGGTTTCAATTGAAACCCTAATTCCCGTCTCGCAACAAGGCGTTCCCCAATCTCTTCTCCTCTCTCTGTGATTCCCTCTCCCTTCTCTGTTTTTCCGATCCACTCATTCGTTCTCCTCTCCTCACTTGTAAAACCAGAATCAAACAGATTAATACTAAATAGGCAACAAAATTTTACCCAAACAAAACCCTAAGGCGATGAAGGGTAGTCTTGAGCGAAGACTTTCGCGGCGGCAGCGACTGAGGATTTTGATGGGGTCTCACGGAGACGCGGTAGTGATGGTGATGCTGGCTTCGCGGGCGGAAAAGTGTTTCGACGGCGGCTTTTTGGTGATGACGAAGAAGATTGCAAAGATAAGTTTTTATTTTTTTAGGGTTTTGGTCTTGAACTCCTTTTTCACGATTTTAGGGTTTTTCGGTTTTGTCTGGTTTCACCAATTTGTGTATTTGAATGTTGTATATATTTTTCTGTGAATGTATCAGTCCCTTTTTATAAGCTGATATATCAGAACCGGATTGAAAGATAAGTTAATAGCTTTCCAATTTGAGTCAAACATGTTTACAACCTGTTTAGATTTACTTTCAATCTCAGAGTTCTACTTTTGGAAAGGTTTTCATGACCTCAAATTCGTTTTGATGATGGTTGGAACATGTTTGATTTGGTTTAGAAAATTTTGAATGCTGTGATAATTGAGTTTCTGCTTTCACTCAATTTTGTCTGAACATGATTTTGCGTCTTTATGATTGGTGATCTGTCAAGAATATTGGTATTATGGAATACTGGACTTCATTTATTTTCTTTTTCTTTGCAGAAATCGAAACTTAGGGGGCCACAGCGTTGTTCAGTGTGATTATCAGACTAACAAGGCAGTCTAACTTCCCCCTCCACACTCGGTCATGTTCTGCTAGAGGCTCCTTCTTTTCATCATGATGAGTCTTGGAACAACAACCTTTAAGCACGTTCAAAGCAGGAACTGGTGTCTCCTCCTCCATCCAGGGTAATATTGTATGGTTTATATGCGGCGAAACGTAACACTTCCGTTTAAAACTAAGGTATTTGCTCCTCACTTCTAATGTAACTCCTTGTAGATTTTGTGATGAAATGACATTTGTAAATATTTTGCAGGGGAAAGATTCATATGCCGGCTTCGGACCTGGGTAACTTGCTCTGACCGTGAAAATACTTGGAGGTTGTCGGTTGTTGGACCAAAGTGTGCGCATCAAAAATCCGCAGCTTTGTGTTTCTGTTTCGTGAATACTAAATTCCCATCTTCATTATTTTTCATGTGTTGTTGGTGTTTTAATGACTGTTATCTTTTTTCATGACAGGAGCTTTCCCTGATGCTTTACTGCTGGTTTTGTCCTCAACTAATAACGTCGCATTACACTCCGCCGTAATGTTGCTGTGGCTTCTTGGTTAAAGCAGTTGTTCATCCCATGGTTGCTTTATTAAGTGGGCTTGGGAGAAATTCAAAGACAAGTCTTCTTGTCAATAGGAGTAGAGAACTACCAATCTTGGCTCGGTTTTTATGAATTGGGAAAACAGAAAATAGTGTAAAGTTGTACTTCATATCAGAATTATAGCTTAGACTGTGGTAAGTGGATTTGGATATCATTGCCTTTTTGAATTTAAATTCAAATGCTCGGTTGTAATATAAAGTGCTTATACCGTTTTCTCACTTTACTTGTCTTGTTTGTGGAATAACTCTGTTTCCATATCCGTTAATGGTTTGTCCTAGTGTTGTGCAGGTTCCATGGAGGCTGTTGCTGTTTGTTGATGATTCTAGCAACATTGAGACCGGCAATGACACTGGCATCCTTGGTGGCCTGTCTCTGAGCATCAATGAAATAAGTTGGGACCGTAACGACAACATCACGGATTGTCTTGCCAAGGAATTCTTCAGTGGTTTCCTTCATCTTAGTCAGAATCATAGCACTGACTTCCTCAGGACTGAACACCTTGGTTTCACCATCCTTTATTTTGACCTGAATGTATGGTTTTCCATCCTTGTTAACAATCTTGTAAGGAACAAGCTTCATGTCTCTCTGAACTTCCTTATCTTCAAATTTTATTCCTATAAGTCTCTTAACATCAAAGATGGTTCTCTCAGGGTTAACAGCTGCCAAATTCTTTGCAGCCTCACTAATGAGTCTCTGACTATCAGCGAAAGAAACCCATGATGGAGTGATACGGTTACTTTGGTCATTTGCTATGATTTCAACAGGACCATTCTTGTAAACACCAACACACGAATAAGTTGTTCCAAGATCAATCCCAATAACTGTCCCCAACTTGGTGGTCCCTTCCTCTTTTGCAACAGATGATGCAAACAGGCATCCGATGGAAACTAAGGCGAGAAGAAGCAAAGACCGGCGTGAAGACGACGGAGCCATGGTGGTTTGTTGTGATTAAAACCTGGTAATGAATTTGAATTTGTTCTTTCATGCTTTTGTCAACAGGAATGAAATTGATGGGTGTTAGGGGCTGTTATGTCATCACGAAGACAACCTTCAAATCTAACACGTATCATCAACATTGCGTGAGTAAAATACTTTTATTTCCATGGTTTTGGTGTAGTTATGCTTTGGCAATCAATAATTTCTATACTACTGAATAACCGGCAATTTGCAGGTGCCTTCGCAGACGTCATGAAGAATACTTCATCTTGGTTGGATTACAACGACATAGGATCTGTCTTTTCTAATCCCACCGTGGTGCTGAACATTCTAAGTCACAGGCCAAAACCGTGTTGCGACCTTTCCGCAAGGAGTACCTATTGTAATTTGGCTCTTTATGATGATGGCCTTCAAACTGTCAGTGTCGGTGCATTAAATTCCACGTGGGGCATGGGGTCCTCAGCATCATCTACTTCCAAATGATATCACGCCCTTGTTCTTTGGCACTTATGCTCATTTGGTCGCCTGTATTTATTTTTTTAGCAAAGCCTTGTGAACTTGTATTACTGAATGATAAAAGATGACGCTTTGAAATTATAAATATAAATTCAAGTTGTAGTAGCCTTTTATGTCTCTGAACTTTTATTTTGAACTTATAACCTTGGCTTTTAGATATCCAATATGTATTCTCTCATATTGTATCTTGTGGAGCACTTTGTACCTTAAAGTTGACCTAAATTTCTAGGATTTAAAAGAAACTCAATAATGCTTTGAACTCTTTGAAATACCCACTTGGTCCATGACGTGGGGTGTGAGGTCTCGACTTTTACTTCTTAAATCTCTTAATGAAAATTGCAAAGAAACCCTTTTGTAATTCAATCTCTTGAGTGATAACTCCTCATAGTAGAATTTGAATGTTTCTTTTCAAAAAAATCAAGCATTCAAGAATAAGGCACCTTGTAAATTGAGTGAGCTCCCACCTAGCTTGAAGCTTACAAAATTGGACATGGGATTTAGGCTTGAGACCTTGATACTTGCACTTTAAGAAACTCACATGGATGTTTGTTGTTTGAAATTTATAACCCCAGCATAAATCTTTGACTTGCTTAGAGTACTCTAAGTCCGACATGTGTTACATAAGAACTTATTGCGATGGTTTATAGAACAAAATGATTGGATCTTGTCTTGAGAGTATTGCAACTTGGCCACAGAGCCCAAGTTTGGAATTGAAACAGATTCAAATGGTCTTTGTAAGGAACTGGGCTTTGAATCTCAATTTGATGATTTGTTGTCTAAACCCGAATCCGAGTTATTCACCCATGCTCTTTTTTCAAATCAAACACCTTAAAAGCTACTGAAATCCAAGTCCTTTCATTTGAATATTAATAACTAATTTCACGAGTAAAATCAAGATATGCTCTGAGAAGACCTTTGACTGTGAAGATACCACTTGTAATGCAATAGGTCTTAACATTCCATCCAAATCTCAAATAACCAATTGTTTAAACCAAGAGTTAGAAATCATAATCCTCCTTATAGAGATACTTGGAGGAAACTTTGGGGAAAGTTGTCCTTCTATTGCCCATGATACCATAATGATAAGAGTATCATTCGTTTGCATCCATATAAACTCAATATAACTTGTAGAAAAGTAGAATCCTGATGGGCATGCACAGAGGTTCATGACTTTCAGACTTCCTTCAGTGAACCTACAAAACACAAAAACTAAAATAAAAAAAGTTAGTTGTACATGGTATGTTTGACTTAGACGATATGCAAATGATCAATGAATCTAAGGGTAAAATTTAGGGTATGACAAATATCACTTGGTTTGACAGAGATATAATCGGTACAAATATTATTTATAGTTGCGGCGGATTTCCTAACGTCCCTTTAGTCGGAAGGAAAGGTTGCATCAACTATAACCCTTCTCTGTTGGTCAGACAGTTTGGATATGCACTGAAGGATCCCCCTTAAGAAGAGGAGATACAGGAATCTCTGTATCTCACCGGTTTAGTGAAGGGTGATGCCTTAGTCAGATTATGGCATGCTTGGAGTAGTATTCATCAGAGAGCGAAAGTAGCCTTGGGGAAGAGTAATAGTCGAGCATATGACCCTTACCTGACTTGGATTCATGATAGAGCTGCGAAGTTTTTGACGCTGTTCCCTTCAGTTGCACCTTTGTATCCTCTCATGATTGAGGAACCCACTATCGTAGACATTCAGAAGTACAATCAGTTATTGTTTGAGAAGGAAGAGTTGAGAAAAGCTAATGAGGAATTGGAGAAAGAAATCATTCAGATGCGAAGGGAGAAGAATGAGGTTGTTCATTCCTTCAAGAAGCAAATTGAGCTTGTAAACAAATTGGGTAGGGATCTGACTAAGGAGACCAATTCTCGGGAGCGTTTGGGTTTGGATTTCAAGGCTATTAATAGTGTTCTTGCTTCCAAGAAGGAAGATTTGGATAAAGCTTACTTAAAGATTTCTAAGTTTGATAACTAATGGAATGTTACGCTCACCAACAACAAAGAGCGCAAAGACAGGTTAAAGCTGCAGATCAGCAAGTTGAAGACGCAACTCAATGCCAAAGACGAGAAGATTGCAGCAGAGGCGTCACTCAGACGGGATAGTGAGTACAGAATGAGTGAGGCTATTGCAAACTTGAAGGATTGCAGGTTGAGAGTTGATTCCAAGAGATGTAAGCTCGAGGCATGCTTTGGGGAAGGAGCTTGGGAAGATCATGTTGAGAGTCTACAACATACTATTAGCCAGCAAGAGTTACTTATTTAGGGACTGCTTGCTAGACCAGATCATCCTGAGACGCGGGAGTTGCTAGAGGACTTCTGGTCTCGTCATCCAGCTTGTTTATCTTTTTGTAGCTTGTTGCTTATCACTTGTTGTATTGACCATCACCAAGCTTGTTGGTTGAGGTTCTTTCTATTATACTCAGTTGTTTCTTGTACATTGCATGTTGGCCTATGATTATATATGAGGAGGTTCTGTTATATGCTTTTCTGTAGGGTTCTCCATTGTTGTGTATTTCCCGGAAACTAGAATCAAGGGGGAAATTTCCCTGTTGCATACATACATGTTGCATTTTGCATTTTTTGCATTGCAGGGGCACCAGAACTGTTAATATTATTTCCTGTGGTTCTTATCAGTGTTTCAGGATTTCTGATCAAACGACTCACCGGTACACAACTAGGGGAAATCAGAAGAGAGTAATGGAGCAGATGCAAGCAGAGATGCAAGAAATGAGGGACCGGGTGGCCCAGTTCATGGAGGTAATGCAGGGAGTGGCTAATGGACAAGAGCAACTCCGTACTTTGGTGCAGCCCTTGATTGCGCGTGTTGATGGAAATGGTGTGTTGAATGGTGGGAATGCTGTCGATCCCCCACATGTTGAGACTCCTCGAGCTGATAACTCCATGCCTACTTTGGTTATCCCTACTGTTGGAGGGAGTGGTAATGTTGCTGGTGCCGGTAATACTATAGGTTTCAACAATACTGGTTTTGATAATGTTGAAAATGGTAATGTTAATGGGAATGGTTATGGTCCTGACACCACTTGTGCTATACATGGTAATATGGATCACCTCTGGAATGAAGACAGGCAAGATGACGTGTTCTCGCCGAGGGTTGTGGCTGCTGAGCTACCCTCTGAAGCTGATAAGAGGATCAAGATGATTGAAGAAAAAATGAAGTCTCTGGAAATTCAAAATTCCATGGGCCTTGACATGGCTAATCTGGGACTGATCCCGGACCTGAGAATGTCGTTGAAGTTCAAAGTCCCAGAATTTGACAAATATAAAGGTACCACCTACCCGAGAGTTCATCTGAGATCCTACTACCGTAAGATGTCTGCCTACTCAGACGATGAGAAATTGCTCATGCATTTCTTCCAGGACAGTTTGTCTAGTCCTTCGTTGGAATGATACATGAGTCTGGAACCCATGAATGTCTGCAGTTAGAGGGACTTGGCTGAGGCCTTTGTGAAACATTATCAATACAACAGCGACCTTGCTCCTAACAGGGTCCAGCTTCAGAATCTTTCACAAAGGAACAATGAGTGTTTCAAGGAATATGCCCAAAGGTGGCGGGAGTTAGCAGCCAGGGTGCAGCCACCTATGGTGGAACGTGAGCTTATTGATATGTTTGTCGCCACTTTTCCTGGCGTTTATTATGAGAAGCTCATCAGTAGTATGTCAGGTAGTTTCTTTGACTTAATCGTCACCAAAGAGAGGGTGAAAAATGGTATCAAGTTAGGGAAGATAAGTGCTGGTGAAATGCCCTCACCTGGAGGAGGAGGTAGGAAAGTATTCGGTAACAAGAAACGAGAAGGAGATACCAATTCCGTGTCCAGTTCTCGTGGGAGAGGTAGAGGTCAGAATCGTCAGCAACAACAGGTTGCTAGTATTACAATTCTCGCAGTTCAGCAACAACCACAACAACAACAACGTCAACAACAACAACAACCGCAACAGGGTTATAAAAGATATCAAGACCGAGGTCGGGCGGCAGTGAATAGACATTTTGACGCTCCTCCCATGCCGTATTCTCAGCTATTGCAAGCTTTGTTGCAACTGCAGTTGATTCAAAAGAGGACCGTGGCTCCCCTGATTGGGCCTCCTCCATCCGGGTATGACGCAAACGCTCGCTGCGAGTTTTATTCAGGTGCCCCGGGGCACAATATCGATAATTGTAAGGCCTTTAAGCATAAAGGGCGGGACATGATTGATAGTAAAGCAATTAACTTCTCCAATGATGTTCCTAATATCGTACAAAATCCCATGCCAAATCATGGGCAAGCCGGGGTCAATCCAATTATTGAGGAGGATGTTTTAGATTTGGTAACAGATGTTAATGAGCTGAAGACACCATTGAGCTTTGTGAAAGATAGATTGTTGATGGGGGGTGTTTTTCCAGATTGTGTTGAAGATTGTGCTGAGTGTCTGAGTAATCCTGAGGGATGTAGGCAGTTGAAGAGCTATATTTAA